ATCACGATGATTATTTTTACGGAGTGACTATAAATCCAAGGGCCATCAATAGGTCAATAAAACCTAATTTAACTCGCTTATCGAAGTAAGTCAGTCTGGTCATATTTACAGAAACTAAAGAGTTATATTCAGTTCCCAAGAAGAAAAGTTTTCGTTATGTCGAATAAACTAATTGGGTCTTAAATGGTTGATTTTAGACCAGGTCAAGTTTCTACTGATCAATCAATCAACAAGCCCCTCAATGAGAACGAAAGTTTGATTTTCGAAAGTAATTTTATTATATGAGGGATATTTGGACAGTCATGAAAGTTTTTAAATAGATCCAACAATTTGATGAAAGCTAGTTTTTTTGCGGAGGAGTTAAAAGGTTCAGTTGGTTAGATCTAATTAGTATATGATGTTTTTCAATTAACTTCCACCTCTTCAACAACCTTTGTTACTTGAGCCTTTTTATGCCTCCGAAATTCTCATGGACCCTTAAATTAAAATATAACTTCGAATTATATATCTATGTATATATATTATATATAATAAAATACTCGTATACCTTTCTGCACATACTCGCTATATCCAAAACTAACGTTTCCTTTTTTAATGCGATTTTGCTGCTTTTTTGGCATTCTTTTTGCCATTTATTGTTCAATAAAGTGTCTGCGCTGCACACAAACTGTCGAAGCGTGACCTTGCGTGTGGAATTTTAAAATAGAGAAAACATTTGCGTTGAAATTCGTACCAATTGTCGCTACCGCAAAATTATTTCGTCGCAGAATTGCAAATACAAACAAATTTACCTTATATGGCATCTTCAAAAAATAGATGAAAAGATAGGGTTGTGTGTTTGATAATAAGAACAATGTCATTCGAGATAGCTTTGTATACAGAATTTATATATAAATATAAAGGTATTAGGTTGCTTAACATGTATTAATTTTGCTTATATATATACTTGTATGTAGCTATTAACATCAGAGTAAGATCAGAAAATATTATATTAAGAATTGCTTAGTACATAAGTGAGCAAAATCACCTTGCAGTGCTTCTATAAATTTACTTTGTATTTGCTTTAGAATTTAAAAAAATATAAATTTACTCTTAGTAATATTTTATTAAAATATTTCTTGGCACAGAGATGCCACCATTTTAGTAAAAAGCCAAACAGGAAATAGTAAAAAAGTAGTCGGGACAATAATTTGTGTCAAAGAGTCTTTTGGCAAGTTAACCTAAATAATTATTTTAGACATATTTTAGAATAGAACTGCCACCTATAAAGTAAAAGCTGAGTAGCATATTTTAATATGTCGACGTTCAGTGCTAAAACTTAACAAGAATAAGTATGTAAATTTTAAAATGGCGTATAAGAGTTATTCCGTTAAGATTTTGAGAAGTCGTAAATTTCTGGAAAAGGCAGTTTATAATAATCTGATTTTGAAAGATCGTCAAAGTTCATAAATTCGTTACAAAAATTTTTTTTGGACCAACGTGAATTGGTTTGTGAACGAATGAAGAGGGGAAAAAAATCTTTTGAATTTTGTTGAGTTATCTGTGGGTGTTATCTTGTGTTACTCGTATTAGTATAATTGTCAACTTTTCCACAAGTGAGTCTTCGCGTCGCTTGCTAATATAAACTTAAATTTGAATCCCTTCTCTATTAATATGATTGTCACTGTACCAGATATAAAATAAAAATATGAATAAGTGTGTAATGCCACGCAGCAGACGCCACGTAACCAAGAAAACGACAACAGTGGTGACTATTAAGACAATAACAGCGAATTGCGACCGCAAATTGAAGCATCAACAGCGGCGGTAAGTTGGTATTGTCTGATTAAAAACACACACCTGTGCATTCGCGTACACCAACAACATCGAAGTAAAAAAAAATACCATTTGCACTTTCGCACAGCTTGAAGTGCGAAAACGATAAACGACTTAATATTCACTACTTTCGAATGCGAATTTTTAAATAATTTGGCATACGTTTTGTGTTAATTTGTACAAAACCGTGTGAATCAAACAGCAGATTTAACTGTAAATAAAAATTGGTTGTGGCTTGATTGGTTTTGCCTCGCACCAAATTAACAAACAAAGCGTCTTGTTGTAGAACTTTCGGTTGGAAGAGTAGAGTAAGACAAATTTCGTTTCCCTCTGAATTTAGAAAGGTGTTTCGAGGCTCGTGAAATGGAGTTAAAATATTCCAGTAGAATGTTATTCCAGTGTCTAGAGTTTAATAACGACTAATTCTTCAAATAATTTTTTTATGTTTCTTTCTCTTATCATCATTTTAGTATAGCCAGAGACCTAAATATTTAGAGCCAATTAAGTATATTAGTTTGAAGTCTCGATCTCTTTCAACCCTATATTTCTCAAGACTGTCCCACAGGTGCTAAGAGTTCCAATATCTAGCTTTGAATAACCTCAAAAGAAATTTTTTCCTGACCTGCCAGATACGCCATCCCTGGACAATTGAATTTTTTACTTTTCTATTCGCTTTCGTCTCAAAATGATCACATCGTCGCTTTTAGTAATTTGTAAAGATCCGCCCACCACGTAGAATACACTTTCCATCTCATAGAAACCAACACTACACATAATTCTATACCAATCGTTTTATAAAGAATAAAAGTTTCTTGCACTTTTTCATTTTAAAACGACATTTCGACTTTCGAACCCACGCTAACCTTCTCTCTCTCGGAATAGAATTGGTATTGCCGTAATAAGCAAATTCGCTCAGTGCAAATACTTTTGGCATTTCTCTACACGATGTGAAAATTGTTCAATTCGGTTTATAATTCCGCCCACTCCCCAGAGACAAAAAATTGTACACTCGAGATTGTACGAAAACGCTTTATAGGAACCGGTGTCAAATTTTGACGATGGGCGTGGCACCGTCTACATTTAGGTGGAAACCCATGTCTTGGGACCTACCCGACCGCTTTCAACCAATTTGGTTGGTGATATTACATTGACATTCCTACATTACAGTGCGAAAATTGGCGAAATCAGGCAAAACCACGCCTACTTCCCATATAATACAATTCCTTACCAGTATACAAATAATAAACCAATCAATGTATCTGGATAAAACTTTGCGCGAATAGTGCCATTGAGAGTTGCCACCTTATGACCAAAAATTGTGCATGTCGGACCAAAACTACTCAAGCCTCCAAATACCGAATATGTGGACGCTATTGCGAACTTTTGACGGAAAATATCGGTCAGCTTGTCAGATATTTTATTGAAATTCGAAAATAATTTTCCCTGGCTTTGATACTTGCAAGTTGCAATAAAATGTTCGGTTAGTCCTGAACTTGTATTTTTTTTAAATTATTTCTCCTTTAACCTTAGAAAAACTTGCAGAAAGAAATATAAATCCGGTTATGTTCCGGTTAAGGAGACCCAATTATCGTGGTATGCTATGCCTTTCTGGTATTCCCCCATGATTTTCCTAGAGATCAATCTAATAATAATTCAAACTTTTATGGTCGAAGCTTGACGAAATCATTATACCAATTGGATTCGAAAGCAAGCAGAAGTAGACAATTCAATAGGAACAAAAAATATTTTTTTTTGAGGAGGGAAGTTATACTCAAGAAACCAGCTTGAAGCTCGAATACTTTATTAGAGTGTGATTTTGCAAAACTAACAAGAACAAGAGAGTTATAAGAAATTTATATTCTGCAAAGGAAAAGCGAGTGATACTGTTATAGAGATAATGGTACTATGAAAATAGCCGAATACATTTTTCATTCAAAGTACTATATTTACCTATCCCCCTCAGTAGGAAGCCGTTCCCTTGAAGTTAAGCTTTCTAAACGACAGGAATTATCATTAACTTAGAATTCATATTGTGTCAAAAGTCATGTTTCTATCCCTAATAGTGTCAGAGGGAGGACTGTACAAGTATATGCCGTTTTTGTTCTGTAGAACGTTGTAAAACTTGAAAACTTTCAGAACTTAGGAAATCTATAATACTTCAAAATCTTATGATTAATGACCGGCTTACATTTAAGTAATTCTTTCTTCGTTGACTGTATAGGGTCCAAAAGTCGTCCACAGCAGCATTCTCCAAATCAGGCACGTCACTAAAAAGTCATTAATCGTGGCTCCATAACGTTCCCCATTGACTGTCACATTATGACCGACTTCATTTGGGAAGAAAAATTAACCAATGATTCCCTGCGCGTTGTGTACCATGGCGGATGATAATAAATTTAGACGACTTGCAAACATTTTTCCGTAGTAAGTGTGTTCATTATAAAATGGCAAACGAAACTAAGTATAAATCAAGTAACAGCTGTCAAAAAGACCAACTCCGACAGAAGCATGTTATTGCCTCTTTGTAAACAACACGACTGAAAAAAACACCCGTTATTTAAAAGACAAGCATGAGTAGATGGGCTCATCTCTTCTACTGATCATTTTGATAAATGTTGCGTGTATCAACATTTCCTCCGGGACCATAGTTAATATACCATTTTACCAAGAAGAAGTTTCAACATTTTCCCGCTTCCTATCTCCTTAAATTTTATATCCGGTTTAGTGTCCTTGAATGTTGAGCCTAATGCCATTCGCAAAAAGTTTTAATGTCAAATATTTCACTTCCATTTTTTAGTACTCATTTGTGTAAGAGTAATATTCCTTAGTGATTTGAGCCTAAAACTTCTCAATATGTCTGCTCTTTATTGCATTCCGCACTTTATTGATTTTAATTTCCGTTTCGACATAACTGTAAACTTTATGTGTTGCCAAATGGCTTTATCTCATCTGAACATCGCTGATATTGCCTAAGTTCAATATTTCAAGTCTGGCAAATTTCATAAAATTTTCCGATTCTTATTTAACTTGAAACTTTGCTCATTTTCAGGATTTGTATGTATGTGTGTGTGTGTATTGAGCTTTTGCTTTACTTCCCGCCGGAACTTTTTATTGGACTTTTTCTCATAAAACTATTCATAACTTTATTTACCATTGGTTGCCTTTTTTTCTTGTTTTTGTTGCAGATGTTGTTGCGGTCAGTCACGTCAAACCCATCAAACGATACCGGGCATCGAAGGTGGCTCGCCCGGTGACAATTGGCTGCCACAGAAGCACACCAGAGCACAACCCACCGATGCATATGGTACAATTGAATTTCAAGGCGGTGCACATCCGACCAAAGCACAGGTAATAAAAACAACAAATATAGATTTATTGATACAGTTTATACTTTATATAAATATATTCATCGATGCAACACATAACCTCAAAGTTAAATTGAAATCACTGCGATAGTTGTGCTCTCTACACATTTGTAGGTACATAAATAATATAATGGCAAATCGATGCTAGTTGATGTTGTTGTAGGAAATATCAATATTGCCACTGACCCACCTATTAGAACGAATCCACACATATATACTTGTATATTTATATGCTTGGGCCTGTGTGCTTTGGCAAACTTTAAAAACACATTAACTTTCGGGCCAGGAACAGATGTTAGAGGCACATAAAGCGAAAAGCAACCCTGTTGGGAAATCTTCAATATTTTGCTGTATTAAAGCAAATAATTGGATTCTAAAAAATTGCCGTAAGAAGTTATTAATTCTGTTGGGAAGAGTATTGACTCATCGCAGCTGTTGCTCCTCATTATGTTCTTACAAGATTCATACGATGTCGTTAGATATCCTTTTATTCAGAATATCCACCCTTTAATACGAACTACATTTCAACAGGCTTCAGAAAGACAGTCTCCTAAACGGCTCTGCGTTTCCTTATTTATTTAACAAGTACAAAATATCGGGTTATACTTTAAATCCCCGATTTCAAAATCAGAAAAATTAAAAATCCCAAAAAAATAACCCTGGCTCATATAACACCGAGGTGTCCTCAGTTCTTTCGCTTAGAACTCCAACACCGGGGTATCAGTAGTTCTTTCGCTTAGACCTATTTTTGGGGATGTAAATTTGAGGTTTTGAGTTTGGAAATTTTAATTTCGCGGGTTTCTTTTATATTGGAGATTTTATGTTTGGGGATTGAGCTTTTGAGATTTTCGAGTCTCTCCTCAAAATATCACCTCCGAATACAGACTCTGTTATGTTACTTGGTATATTTTCAATGCTCAAGTGATGCGTAACATAGTTAGGTACGTAGTGTGGTTGTCTTACGACGCCACTAGTATTTTAGGAGGCGCACTGTGACACCATCTTACTAAATTCCCCTCACTCCATTATAATATATAATGTCCTCTCTGGACCACCCCGTGCTCCTAAAGAAGTATATCAATTTAAAAAGTTTTACATGTACAACTTCCGAGGCATCCCCAAAAAACCCGCGACCGATAGTTGCGATTCTTTTGCTACACAAAGCCTAGCATAGAAGATGTTCTACAGCGTTTGCAGCTCTTAAACGGCATTGAATCGCCTTTGCCGCCCATATGGACAACATTCCATTCATGCTCAAAAGCATATTTAGTTGTTCGCTGATTTTTCGTGAAACTTCGATTTGTTGGAACGTCATGTACGGCTAAACCCGTATTGTTATTGTTTGATGAAAAGAAACCTCATTCAGACCTATATGAACCACTTGTCTCTAGTTCAAAACCTATACGAGACTTCAGATTCCTTTATATAAATTGATCTGGTGAACAGGTATTTGAAAATCTTTCCGATAAACGCACGTTCTGTTAGTCCCATAATACTCCCAAATCACTGTTTTCATTACCAAGATTTTTTCTGAAATACTTGTACTATCTTTGCTCAACTATTTTGCTTTAGTCAATCGCTGAGCGCTACGTTTCTTACTCTTCGCAAGGCTAGCTTGTGTTGCACTTGGAACTGTGAGACATTTTCTGTTCCTAAGACAAAAATCAGTACTCTTTTTAAACACCCATATCGCCAGAGACTGTGGGAGTTAGTTACACACACCAGACATTGTTTTACACTCAAAAAGTAATTCTACAAATACAGGTCTAATTGTATTGATGAGGTCTTACAAATCGCATATTATATTGCGACTGTGCTTACTTGAATGATATTGACCGATTATAAACTAATTCTTACAACATATTAGGCCAACTGTTTTTCGTTAGTCTAATGATACTTATCTCACGTTCTCTCTACATTATCGCCCTTTAAATAAGCTTTCTAGAAACCGTACTATTTATCAGTACCCTGAGGGTAGTTTAGCGAGTTTTCTATTCTTAAAATTATTATAATAAGATTTATCTTTTCTCTGTAGAATTGTTCAGGGAAGTGAAAAAAACTAGTTATAAATGCTGTGACTCGATTTATTATAGACCCGTCTCATTAGAATAAGCAAAATATCTATAGTTCCTTCGTAAACACACTGCATATAAAATTTCGCTTTGGGAAAGTCTTAAATGCTGACCGATCAGGGTACATATTTTTCTAACCTGATTACTATGACAGCTATCAAGTCCATACAAAGTTTCTTCAGTTCTAAATACCTTACGAGAAGCAACTCTAAAGTGAAAGAAATCGAACTTGTTTAATATTCCTGATCTGCTTATTAACTTACACTTATAGTTTAAAATTTTTTAGAAAACTGTGCGGCATTGAGTGTTGCAATTTCGAACTTACAATATCTCTGAGAGTTCTTGTAAAAACAACTTTTCCAATTGTATACACATTTATGTATAGTTAAAGTTTTTCTACAGCTTATATTGGTTACATGCAATGGGCAGTTAACAGCAATCCCCTTCACTTACTTTCAGAATTTACAGTAGTTCCAAGTACACAGCGGAGAAATCTCTATACTTGTGAAACAAAAGTTTCTCTATGTTGTTGATGTAGGGCGGAAAGTAGTCCCCTTATAAATTTGAGGAGTGTTGCTGAATTGGCCGTTATTGGACGTATCTAAATCTGATAGAGTTCCGATTACGTAGATTCGATTTTCGTGGGAACGGTTAAGCGTTTACTTCAGAGCTTACGAACCGTGAAAACATGTTTATGCGGTTTTTTTTACTTTTTAATTTTTACTTACAGCACGAGAATTCGAGGGCGGCTTTAAAGACATAAATTCTAACTATTGCGACAAGTTGTTTTAAATGTCCAGAAATAAGTCGAGCCTGAACTGTTGTTTGAATTATAGTTTCAAAAACTTTTTACTTCCAAGAGAGACTTAAGTGCGTGCGAATTTTGAGGACGACCTAAACAAAAGACCTAAATTCAAACTTTTTCGAAAAGTGCTTTTAAATGTAGGATCCGTCAACTCTGATGATTGACTTTATTATAGTCTGAAGACATCGCTATCTTATTGCGAATGGGTTCTTTTTTTTACAATTCCGGAAAAGTTTAACTGGTAGTGGTACTGAATGTACTAGAACGACACTAGTTTGGAACTCATACGCTCCCCTGCAGGTACAACCCTCATACACACGCTGTTGAAGTACTGTTAAGAGCCCTTCACACAGCTTTAAACTTTCACACTTTCGCGCTGATGCTATTGGCAGATTTTCGAAGTTTGCCCACAAAATCAGTACAAAAACAGCAAGTTATATTTGTATTTTATCTTAATTGCACTTTGATCTACGCAGTTTGAGTTACAAAAATTTAATTCTCAAATATGCATCTTAGTTAAGAAAACTATTCGCCAGTGCGCATTCTTCGGAAAACTTCCGAGGGAATTTCAAAAGGCTTGTGCTTTATCCCTACTACAGTTCATACTCAGAATCTAAAGTTTATTTTTATACATGTTAATATTTTGTTTATTCTTCTTCTTCTTTTTTCTTTGCGTTTGGTCAGTATGTGCGCCTGTCCTTCGATACACGCCCGGAATTGTTGGTGCAGCTGTTTACCAAAGAATGGAATTTGGAATTACCGAAACTTTTGATTACAGTACAAGGTGGCAAAGCGAATTTCGAACTGCAACCAAAGCTGAAAAAGGTAAGTTAACGGTTCTTCGCAATTACAACTTATTTAGTTTTAAAATAAAACTTTACACAAAGCAACTTAATGGACCATCATTAGCATTGACAATGAAATGCAATTTGTATGCGGCAGCTGGAAGATTCGAAATACATAGCATAAAAGAGTTTACTTTATTGAAAGAAGCCCTGCATGAAAGAAATTTAGCAAATAGCCTCTGCCTCAAAGTAGAAAAAAATTGTTTTTTTGGGTTGCCACCTGTTAAAGCTTAACTTTGCGAAAAATAATATTATAAACAAAAAATTCACTACGAAATTTGCATTAAACTGAATTTAAAGAGCCCTGTAGTAGAAAAAAGTTTTGAGGAGCGTTGCCACCTGTTTCTTTTAAACCGCTAAATTAAATAAATCATATAAAATATAATATAATATTATAATTCAGCTATTAAAACGAAAGAGAAACAAATAAGAAAGAGCTAAGTTCGGGTGTAACCGAACATTTTGTACTTCGCAATTCGCAAAGCTCAAGGGCTCAAGCCCTGAGGCGTAAGAATTCAACATTCTTCATTTGGCGAAACATTGAATGATTTTCGGTCGTATTTGGTATATTAACTGCATTAACTCTTGACAGTACATATCCCACTACATATTCGGCATAAAGTCAGCTAGAATGACAAAATCATCACATGGGAGATGAGTTCATTCGTGTATCGATTTCACATATTTTCGGCATTAAACTACAAGTACTACACTATATTACAGACCTTTTTTTTTGCAAATCACCTCTTAAGAACTTTGAACTTTTCGAAAGCTTTTTAACCTTGATAACCAAGTAATTTTATATTTTAATGTTTTTTCAGGAAATTCGTAAAGGCCTTTTGAAAGCGGCGAAGACGACGGGAGCATGGATATTCACAGGCGGTACAAATACAGGTAAAAGAAATCATAACTAATAATTTCGAAATTAATACTACTTAAGTTTTCGAAAGTATGGCCAAATTAAATAGAACCGCGATTCTAAAAATAAAAGTACAACTTAGAAACTGAATTTAACGGTCCTATAGCTGGGAGTCTATAGTTGTACGAAGTCTCTAGGTATTATGTGATCACCACTTAAGACTGACCATTTTCCATACATTGATTGCTAAATTCTTTGTGATTTTCTTTCTCACCCAACCGATTTATTGACGTTTCCTTATATGCGGAAATATTGAGTTTATTTTAAAGCCTTTTCCTTGCCATACATAATATATAAGTTTTATCGTTCACCCAAAAAATTTCAGAAAAACCATTGAAATTGATTTCTTCTAGTATTTCATTATATTTCGCTCTCCTTGTCTTTTGTCAATTTCTACTTTGTCTTGTTTACATAGGCGTTGGTCTTCCGGCTTAAGCCTAATCATGATAAGCTCAAGTGGTATTATTTTTGTCTGCATATTTATTTACTTTAGCACATATCGTATCAGGGCATTTATTTACCCGCTGTCTTTAATTGTTGATTTGTTGTTTACTCGCATGTCTTCTCACAATGGACATCAGCAGCGATGATTCGGCTTCGAAGTCTTTGTGGCATTAAGCGATTCATTGCTGTCTAATATAATCTTCTAACCAGCATTTGGTATCGCACTTCTTTTTATTTGACATATACAAGTCCGGTGGGATAAAACTGTAGCTTTTTGCTAACGGACTTACATTTCTTTGAACTCTCTGAAACTCTCAACCGATTCAAAGCCTTTATCATTAAAAAATTATGCGTGTTTGGAAATAGAAATTGCTACAGAGAGTTAAAAGTAGAGAGTATTCTGACTAAGAGAATGATTCGGCACCAAATGATAACCTAGAGCCATGAGTCCAGGTGTTTTTAAGTATTGAAATAAGTAATAACTAATCTTGAATTGATGGTTTGACATATCGATGATCGACCGGTCCCATTTGATGTGTTTTATCGCCAGTCAAAAAAAGTTCTTCAAATCCTTTCTAATCATTAAAATTGCCAAAATAATTGAAAATCCTAGCTACTAAAAATATATCAATTATTTTGTTGAGTTCGAGAGAAAAGACGCTGGTGTGTAGGTCGGATAAGATAAGCGGTGAAAAGCCCCACATAGGTTTGTTTAACGTACCGATAAAAATAACTCTCACATTGAATATGGGAAAGCAGATCATAATTAGTACCAAAAGCCGCGAGAATTTGTGGGACAGCAACTCTACGAGATATCAAACTTCGGAGTGTAGTTCGAACACTAAATATTTATAAAATCAATAAGTTGTTCGATGACTTCTGAATTTATTCAAATAAAACTAAGTCGGACACAGAACATTGAAGAAGAAACTCGTCGGAACTATGTTAGTTATTTGTACAGCTATATATATGTATACCATATATGACGTCATAGAAGTATGTGGCAGTTACAATTTGTGTTCGGTTAAATGGTCGTTCCTAATAGGGATCTCAATTGGACAGCGCCTGTCTATTGTGGTACCTACAACTCTTATAAAATTGATCATCAGGGCCTTCACAAATCGACAGAGTGCTTTGAAAGCATCACAAATTTGTTGATGCTATCAATGTTAGTTTCGGTTATGTCTCGTGGTTCGCTAAAAATATGACTGCCGTGACATTTCAACTTCAGTCTTTCGAAGATATTTAAATCAGTTCTGTTTATTTCTACTACGGAATTACCACGGCCTTATTTCTGCTGATATTCTACAAAGTGTTATTTCGCTGTTCAAAGGTAAGAACTGATTACTCTCTATATATTGCGTCGTAAATTTGTCTTCAATTGAGGTTGCTACCCGTTAAATCAAAAAGCCACTGTGTTATCGAACTTTCCTACCATATTGATATGTACTTATATTTAGCCACCAATAGTCTCCTTCAGTATTAAACAGCTCTAATATTGGGCGGCAATTTATTTACACAGCCGTCGATTCAATCTTCATTCACTCAATCATTCCTAATACCGGCAATGGCAAGGGCCTTAAATTGTTTGTACAGCATCTCATTTACATAGTCATTTACCTCATGGGAGCTAACTCATTACACTGAAGGAACTAAATCCAACTATAAGTTGCTGGCTTGTGTATCTAAATCGCTTTCGAACAATTTACCACATCCATCTATTTGATTACATATTATATTGTATATTTAAGCATTCTCCCTACCACTCTCTCTTCTCACTATCACACTCTCTCACTCTTTATTTACAGGCGTTACGAAGCAGGTGGGCGATGCGTTGCTGCTCGAGGGTCAACAGCGGAGTGGCCGTGTCGTCAGTATCGGTATTGCACCCTGGGGTATAGTGGAGCGTAATCATGAACTTTTGGGGCATAATCGAGAGGTGCCCTGTCACAGCATAAGCTCACCGAGGTAAAAACACAAGTGTATGACTGTGTGTGTGGGCGCTTTGAAGCTCATTAGAGCGACTGGGGCCAATAACCTAGTTACTTTAAACATTAAATGTACAGTTTGTGAGTATGTAAATTTGTGCTGGGTTCAAAATCTCTACACGCCATAACTGTGAAGGTGTGTACAGGGCAACAGGCGCCGGCAGCAAGCTTCATAGTTACCCTCACGGCTGTATTCGCTCGTCTGTTGCTTCATTTGGATGCTGAAAAGCGTTTATGACACCAGGGTAGCCACCAGGTGATGCCACTAAACTGCTGTTTTACGTCTTACGCGAGATTTGCATTAAATTTAAATATTTATTTTATTTCTTTGTTATGTAAAGCGAAACGTTTGGACCTGTTACTTATATTTGCTCAATCTATTCATTCCCGCTAGGTCCAAATTAGCTGTGCTGAATAATCGTCATGCCTACTTCCTGCTGGTTGATAACGGTACACAGGCAAAATATGGCGCTGAGTTGATATTGCGACGAAAATTGGAGAAATTTATATCGAACTTGAAGCTACATCCATGTAAGTGTATTTATAGTTTGTAAGTTGAAATATGGTGTGCATTCAGATGAATAAGGGATTGTCCAAGTTAGCATAGTTTAAAAAAGCTGCCAGGTGAGATTTCTTTAAAGCTACTAAACACGATTAAAAACGCTTCAAAAGCACTGAGAGCTGTTGACAAATTTTTATAGTTATTTCACGGTTACATATTCTCGTTACACGGCTGTTCACAGAATATGACTTTTAAAATTTTTGAGTCTATATCATGACTTGAGGAAAGGAATTTACCAAATCATTCTCTATATGGAAATCACTAAAATAATATGAAGCTATGATTACCTAACGGAACGTTCCCTTCCTTGAATTCTGCGGGCGTGAGTTCTTAAGAGTCCTGTCCTGTTAGAGAATAAAAGAAAGAAAGAAACTCTTTGTTTAGTGATGTTCGAGTTAACCATTAATTCAAAATCAATAAAAGTCAGTTAAAAAAAAAATAGTATACTCCGTACCAACATGTTGCGAGGGTATATACATTGATAGAACCTCGAGTCGTAGCGACGGCATACGTATTCCAAGTACCACTCAATGATTGTACAGTGCAGAATAGTTTTTTGGTAAACATTATGTAGTGATAAATACCACATTTATGGTCATTGGGAAGCAGTCCACATAGTTCCCGACAAATTCTCTACAACAATATAAGGAAATCCTTCGAATGTACCTTCACCTAAGGGCTTCCTTCAGGTCAAATAAAAAAGTTGTCCATACATTTTGATCGGACATTTTACAGTTATCATGTAATATATATATGCTATATTGCATATCTTCGGGGATTGTACCGTTGCCTTCAAAAATATTCCGTGCAATATTTCCTGAAAATATCTCGTCAAATTAAAAAGTTAAATTTGTATGGCAACTATAAACAATAGTGGTCCTATATCGACAGCTCCGAGAAATGGGCAATTACTTAAAGAGAAAAGCACCTGTGAAAATTTTCAAATCTCTATCTCGATAACTAAGGGAATAGTTCGTTTAGATGCACATAGTACATGGCTAAATCGACTCAACTTGTCATGCTGATCATTCTTATATATACTTCAGAGGGTCTCCCACGTTTCCTTTTGAGTATTACAAACATCCAGGCAAACTTAATATACCCTGTTCAGGGTATGAAAAGTATACAAAAACGAACCAGTGTTTTTAGACGCTCCACGCACGAGATGGGCACCGACTCCGATTGTCACAAGACAATTTTGTTCAGCGATTAAGTTTTGGTTCAAGGCGTACGTTAATAAACAGAATCATCGCATTTGGAGTGATGATAAATCTTAAGACATTGTTGAGACGGCGTTACCTCCTGTTTGCTCTGCTCTAGCGTTTTGAAACATTCCAGGACACAGAAAATAACTGAAATCCATTGAAAATATTTATCCTCTCAATATAATAGGTTAATCATACAGATCCGCTGCAATCAATGATTTCAGATTAAAGATGATTTAATTATTAATGATTAACAAAAGAGCGATCAATTTTTCTGCAATGTAATATTTATTGAGATGCCAGTACTTCTTAATCCCATTACATATATTGTTAAATGAAATATCCATTATATTCCTTGTTGTGTCTTATTTGATTGCAAATGTTGCTTCCTCCACTGGAAATTTTTATTATCCCAAACAATGGGGACTTATTCAACTCGTAGAGTAGCAAATTGATTTGCCATTATCGTGCTTTCTGCGTCGTTTCATATTTCAATGCGACTTTTATTTACCAGTCATATCAATTTTGCACCCTCTACCTCCCACTAAACCCGCGTCACATTATACCACAAGTGTACTCGAGAATGCGTGGGTCCACAAGTGCTTGTATGCATTAAGGTGTATTTCCTGTATGTTTACACACACACACTCCCATATTTGATTGTGTTTGTGTTCGCCTTACATTGTTTGCGTGGCTAATATTGGCTTTGCCTTCGAATTGATTTCATCTATTTGCGCCAATGCTGCAATTTTTCTTCCGCTCTGATTTTATTTGGACCGAAATTCAATATTTTATTGTTTTTGTAGTTGTTATTGTATATACACAAGTTGGTTTACCGTTTGGTTGGCTTGGCAAGCAGGAAGTAGATGGAAATGTCACTTGTGGTTACCGAATGCAATGCTGGAACGAAAAGCCACACACATACACATATACACACAAATTGTTTTGGGAAAATATGCAGCAACTTGTCGCATTTGAGCAGGTGGTGCCTCGCATAATAAATAGCTGCATATGTGAAAGCTTCCACTGGCGCATGCCATTTTTTGAAAAAGAAGAAACACCATTTGCTACGCCTCATTGATTGGTTGAGTTGCTGAGTTCATGCAGTTTATATTTATATATATTTTATTTTATTAAAATAGCGAGTGGTTTTTTATGAAAAGTGCGCTTTTGCTTGCCGGAATATTACATACCTTTTTGCTGACCAATTTAATGGAGAATGTATTATCATTCCTTATGCTTGGTAGCAAATTGTTTCATCGGTTCATTTACTTCAAGGCAGTGAAACAAATAGAGTGCCAAATATTATTCGAAGTAGATTTGAGTACATAAAAACATGGATGGAACTCTAAAGGAACTCTTGGTATTGTCGACTCTGTGGCTTCGAACCTCGCTGATAGTCTGTGCTCTCGAAGCTATTAAAGTTAGTTATTATACAAACCATATAATATGGTCATTCAGTCCATTCAATACGCCTGAAAAGTTTAGCCTTAGACGAAAAACCGGTTTGCGCTATTTTATACCAGTTTGAAGGGATTTATATCTCTCAAGCAGTTGTTGTAAAAATTATAGGAGTTTTAAGCCCATTGGTATATGCAGATAAAATAACAAAAATTAAGAGCAAAATAATTTACGAGTTTAAAGTCAGGAAGAGGAAGGAAGGGGGTGGATACATTTTGAAGGGTCAAAAACGGTTTATCTCGATTTCCCGCAAAACTAAGAGTCCCTTAGAAAAAAGTTGTGTGGAAATTTTGTAGTTAATAAAAAGAGCTAGAACTTTTTTATGTACACCTTTTTTACATAGTCTCAAAATTTATGTGAAAATTAAATAATCAAGATTTTAGATTTTGATCTTATACAAAAAATGTATTCTTTAACGAATTTTTAGGTAAACTGACATTAAATTTAAACTATTTATTTATCCACCATATTTTGACATAACTTGCATGGTATATTAAATTTGCCACGAAGCTTGTAACACCCAGAAGGAAATATCGGAAATCCTGTAATACTAGTACATATATGTATATATACCGGAAAGTGATGATTTGCGGAATGCATTAATTTTTTGTTCCCATTTGAAGAAAAGTGCTGCAGAGTCCCATCAAATGCTTTTCGAGTCATATGGTGATCATGCTCTATTATAAGCAAAATGTAAAAGATGGTTTCAACGGTTTAGAGATAATGATTTTGATGTGAGAAATAAAGAACGTGGAAGACCACCAAAAAAGTTTAAGATGCCGAGCTGCAAGCAATATTGAACGAAGATGATATTTTGAGTCAAGAAACAATTTCAGACCGTTTTAAAACTATGGGAAATATCCAAAGCTGTGAAAATGCCAAGTGAATTGAATGAAAGATAAGTGGAAAACCGAAAAAATACTTGTGAAATTTTGCTTCAAAAACACGAAAGAAAGTCAGTTTCGCATCGAATTGTCACTGGCGATGAAAAATTGATTTATTTTAAGAATCCTAAACGGATTCGGTAAGAAGGCAATTCTCTGTTTTTGGTGGAATCAGAAGGGTGTGGCATATCAAGAGCTTCTAAAACCTGATGAAACTGTTAATGCTAATCGCTACAGACAGCAAATGGTCAACAACCAGAATGGGCCAAAAGACACGCCAAAGTAATTTTGTTACACGACGATGCACCTACACGCAAAGCAAAATCGGTTCAGGATAATCAAAGTTCTTGGCTGGGAGCTATTACCCGACCCGCCGTATTCACCAGACTTGGCACCTTCCGACTAACATTTGTTTTTATCGATGGGACACGCATTGGCTGAGCAGCACTTCGAGTCCTACACAGAAGTTGAAATTTGGGTGTCTGATTGGTTTGCTTCTAAAGACGAACATTTCCATTGGCATAGTATCCACAAATGGGCAGAAAGGTGGTCGAAACGTGTAAAAAATAATGGTGAATACTTTGAATACATTTTTTTTACGTCCCCATTCAAAACTCATTTTCACAAAAAATATTTCCATTTCATACCGGTACACCTGGTAAATGATTAGTGTGATGAACTGAACCGCTTTAGCAATGTCCGTTTATCCGTCAGTCTGTATATATGAGAACTATTTCCTCAATTTTTGATATATCGATTTGAGCCACTATAATATATAGCTGTCATACAAACAGATCGATCGAAATCAAGTTCTTGTATGAAAACTTTTTTTATTTGTGAAGGTTCGGTGCGAACGAAATTACGTTTTTTCTTGTTTTTGGGTAATTTCTATAGAAAATACTCTTCTGTCGTTCTTTAAGTTTCTGTTTCTCTATTTGTATTACACATTATAATTTTATCGGACCGATTTTTTGGCTTAAAAAATTAATTTAGAATGTCATTTGAATTTTATTATTAGGTCTTAGTAAGCCATTGTATTCATTAAATTTAGGTTCCATAAATAATCTAATCAAATGACCTTGAGAGCTCTATCAACTTCAGACTTCCTGACTATTGCAGTTGTTTTAAAGCAGAGATTGTTGCCATTAAGGAATGCAGCCTCCTGCAGAGAAGTAACTATTTACTCTGATAGCAGGATGGCAATACTAGCCTTGAGCTGACTAGCCGGGCGTTCAGAGCTGGTAAAGGAATGCCTCACCTCGTTAGTAATCGCGTAGAGTCACTTTGTGATAAGCCTAGTATGAGCGCCAGGCCATAGCGGAGGTACTGTAAAGCTGAGGAGCTGACAAGGAAAAGCACCCTAGCCACACTTTCGGTAGAATGGGAACGGATAAAGGAGCCTTTCCCCATGTGCTTTACTACATGATAGGTGGGCTTCGCGGGAACTTCGCTAGCGCTGGGCTATGGTTCATGCGCTGTCGCAAGATGGCCCAAGATCGATCGTAGGAGATCCAGTGAGCTCTTTACCCTCAGTAAGGCTACACTCTTTCTAATTGTGGGGGTTCTAACAACCTTTATGGCTGTATCGGCATCCATGCTGTAAGGTTGAAAATTTTATCGTACGCCAACTACAGAAGATGTATGTAGAATGCCGACTTGGAAACATCTCAACATTTCCTTCTTGATTGTCCTACGCTTACGAGGGAGCTCAGACTTTTAGATATTCTACCGAGCTGGTGGGAATAGAAATTAAACGCCTGAGCAAATTTGTATTGACCACAAGGCGCTTTGCCGACTTACTAGATCGCATACAAGAGTTATGTTTTTATGGCATCACAAAGGACTGCATATTGGATCAGCGATCTCTGGATCAGCCATCGAACCTCACCCAATCTAACCTTGTGATCCCAACTTACTTCCAAAATTTCTTAGTGGTATCTTGCATATGATATATTGATGTTTGACGAGATGGAGTAAAAATCTACATTTCTGGATATAACTTGTCTTTATTGTTTATACCAAACAGAAACGTTGACGTGATTCGAAAAGAATAAAGAGTTTCCTAAAGGCTTCTATGTTATAAGCTGCCATAGTTATTACGATGCTATTAGAAGTAGTACTACTCACACTTTTTGAACCCAGGCAGTAGCTCGCTCTTTTTCGCACTTCTTTTTCCACAAACTTTCCACGTACGTGCATTCTCGCAGTCATCATTGGCAATGATACGCATGAACTATGTTCATTTCGACGGAAAAAATAAAGCACAACGGAATCACTGGTTAATGCAAATATTTTCGTCATTATGACTGAAGTGCACATATGTCGCGTGTATGCTATTTGTCAAAGCTCGAAGGATTCAGCGTATCCCGCATGCAATTCAGCGACCGAATCGGAAGTGATGTGACATGATGAGATGTGTGGCATGCGGCAATGAGCTGCCAAGTGCCACAGTGACAATGAGCCACTGAGCAATGCGCAGCAACAAGGACACACGCGTGCCACTACAACAACAATAACAGCAAACTCGCCAATCGAAATGACAGTATTTGACTTGAATATGTCAACGGGAATAATAAGTTGCTCTGGACGTTAACTGCTTTGCGCTCGGAAAGTTGGATTGCATGCGTGCAATAACGGTATTTTTACGCATGTCTGGTCGCTGCTGCAAGTCACGGGATTTACGCGAACTCATATCTGTTGCTCTCACACGCATATTTCCACTTGATCAAATTGTCAGATGGCCTTTCGCAAATTTATCAGCCGAGTCAATGGTTGCGAAAGCACAAAAAGTGTAGTGGGGAAAGTTTTTAAAGCTTTTTAGCAGCCGTGGGATGCGCGTATATTGCAGCAATTCTTAAATATTATAATTATCTCTAATTTAAATATCTTATCTCTATTTCTGACTCACTCTCACTGTCTTTCCTCTCTATCTCTTTGCAGTTACACATTCCAGCACACCGGTCGTCTGCTTGGTTATCGAGGGTGGCACAAATACGGTACGTGCCGTGCTTGAGTACGTGACGGACACGCCGCCAGTGCCGGTGGTGATATGCGATGGCTCGGGTCGTGCAGCCGATTTGATAGCGTTTGTGCACAAGTAAGTCAACTATCATATGCCCTCAGCTATCAAATTCTCCCCTATTAGGCATAAAAATGCATTGAATATTCCCTAAATATGCTTTCTAGTTACGAACGTCTATTTGTCCGTTCAGCACCTTTGTTGGTCACGGTCATTCATTTAGCTTTCGGTTTTTGGCTTTGCGCCCAATGGCAATTGACTGCTCTTGGCTGAGCGCACTTAGTTGAAGTTTCGTAGAATTATCTCTAATTGAGGTTAAATTCGTAACGGTTTATGTGTAGATGGGTATGGCTAGCAAATTGTTGCTTCTTAAAGTAAGTGGAGAGCTTTAAAAAGTTCGACTAAAATGTTCTTTCGTTAATTAAAATTTATTCTAATTTATTGGGCGAGAGTACGAGAGGCCAAAGTTACTCGAAAGAATGTTTAATATCTTATAAGGAACATGAAATGTAGAAGTCAAGTTTTTTTAAATTCTTTCTAGACAAAAACTCTTCCTAATAAAGGTGAAAGAATGTATTATTTAATTCGATATTTCAAAGCTAGCAATAATAAGAAAACAATTAATAGTTTTTGCCCATAACCCCAAAATTTTTTCAGTTAAGTTATTTAGTTTTAATGTTAAGTCAATAGTTCGATCCTGAATTTGTTGTAAAATTCCTACAACTTAGAGTTAAAGAATATTTCATGCATTCTTCCTGTTTATTGAGGAGATCATTTTACATTTTGAACTCTTTGAGACCTGTTCATCAATTTTGACAGCAATGCTTACTTAGTTGATTTCATCAATTTTCAGAACAGCTACTATCAAAAGATGATATTAATAAAGAGAGCTGTTAGAGGATATTTCTATATGTAAACAGTCATTATTAAATCAAAACCAGAAAACATGTTAACTTCGGCTGGACCAAAGCTATAATACTCTTCATAAGTACATAAGATTCCATTTCATTCTATTCCATAATTTGATTGATCGATCAGTTTGTATGGCGGTTATAGCATAGTGGTCCGATTTAGACAATTATTTCGGAGATTGGGCAATAATCCGTGCCAAATTTTTTAAAGATATCTTGTCAAATAAAAAAATTTTCGATGCAAGCACTTGATTTCGATCGTTCAGTTTGTATGGTAGCTATATGCTAAAGAGATCCGATCTGAACAATTTCTTCGGAGGATATCTCGTTAAACATACATGTTTCCAATACAAGGACTGAATTTTGATCGGCCTGTTTGTATGGCATCTATATGTTGTAGTGGTCCGATCACACTGTATAAGCACCAGTCGGAAGCGAAAATTCTCAAAGTTGCTAGATCCTCTGTGCTAAGTGTCAACAAAAAGCGAAAAAGTTTGAATCATCTCAACACTGTCTTCTCACATCTTTCTTTCCCATTCTCTAATCTTCGAAGTTTGTCATTTCTTTACAATTTTGGTATCATTGTTCCAGCTCCTTAAAGGCTCAGTTAAAGGTCCAGTATGCTATCAGATACTAGGTTTTGATCTTATCTACACTTCGGATGTATCAAAAGGCGATTCTTTTGGCTAATGTTCACGACTAACTTGTTCGTTCGACCTGAATAGATATACATTGTGACCAGAAAGTTTCCGGAAATTGTAAATAAAACGAAAAATGTTTAATCATCATCAATATTTCTTTTGTCGCCCTCAAATGCTTCTTCTGATACACGTGCCATATGTCTCTTATTCCAATTATCAAAACATGCCTTATAGGCGCTGTCCGGGATCGCCTTCAGTTTCCTCTGCAAGTTTTCTTTTACGGCCTCAATCGAGTTGAAACGTGTTCCACGGAGTACTGACTTGAGTTTTGGAAAAAAAAGAATAGTCGCATGAGGCCAAATCCGGTGAATGCGGTGGTTGATTCATGGTACTGAACGAGGTTTTGATCTTAAATTGTTCACAACTATGGTCTTTTTGCAAAAAACTCAGCTCTTTCGGAACAAGCCGAGCATTGACGCGTTTCATTACCAAATTATCGGGAATGAGTCATGTCAGCCGAGCATTGACGCGTTTCATTACCAAATTATCGGGAATGAGTCATGTCTTCGACGGTTTCTCGACCATCCTTAAAGACTTTGTACCAGTCGTAGACTTGGGTTTTCGATAGAATATATTCACAATAAGCCTTTTATAAAATTCGAAACGATTCTGCACACGAAATTTGGTTTGAATCACAAAATTTGATGCAATTTCTTTATTCAATATTTTTTCCATTGTAAAATGGCAAAACACTACTGAGGTCGACAGATTTAAACAGCTGCTGCAAACAAACTGGTTGACAGATCGCGCTCATTTTTGGCATAGTAATTAAGAACAGTGCTACCAACTTAACAAGAAAAGTGATGAAAAATATTCAGCGCGTTCAGTTTAAATGACAATTTCCCGAAACTGTATATTCACAATGTATATGAAGATATGTATCGGGCTTTCCAATAAGCATGATATGATTTCTAAATGTCCTTTCGGCCATTTTTAATATGCCATGATCTTAAATTTTGTTTCATTATATTCAGTAATGTTTAGAATTTCATCTTGGAAAGATATACGCAAGAACATTGTTTACAAATTATTCAATTTTATTATCAAAATAATCGTTCTCCAATTGCAACTTTTTGTGCGCTTTTGCTATCTCTGATGAAGCTCACTTTCATCTGAGTGATGCGGTAAATAAACAAAATTCTGGTGCGAAGAAAATCCACAAATTATTCATGAACAACCATTAAATTCACCAAAATTAACAGTGTGTTGGTGTGTTTTTGAGTCTGGTGGAATCATCGGTCCGTACTTCTTTCAAAATGAAGCTGGTGATACCGATACTGTTAGTGGATAGCAGAATAGATCGATGGTAACCAACTATTTATGACTGCAATTGGAAGAAGTTGATCTTGACAACATCTGGTTCCAACTAAACGGAGCTACGTGCCACACAGCACGTGCAACAACCGAATTATTGCGAGAAAAGTGATTCGATAATTTCAAGAAATTGTGACATTGAATGGCTCCTAGAAGTTGTGATTTAACACCATTAGACTACTTCTTGTAAGGTTATTTGAAGTAATTGATCTCGTCAAATGAAAGAGTTTCCCTTACAAGCACTTGATTCCGATTATTCAGTTTGTATGGCAGCGATATGCTATAGTGGTCCGATATCGGCCGTTCCGACAAATGAGAAGCTTATTTTTTTAGAAAAGGACAGGTGCAAAACTTCAGATCGATACAGATATACAGACGGGCAGACGGACGGTCAGACAGACGGACATGGCTAAATCAACTAAGCTCGTCACGGTGATCATTTATGTATACACTTTATATGGTCTCCGACGTTTCCTTCTGGGTGTTACAAACTTCGTGGCAAAATTAATATACCCTGTTCAGGGTATAAACATGTTTTTTTTTAACTTCCCGCTAAGAAAATTTAAATTTTTCTAAAAATCGGGAAGTTATTGGTTTCACCCCATTTTGCAAAAATCGAGTTCTCAACAGACCTCGACGTCCTGAGGGTCGAGGAAGCTTCCCCGAACATTTCTACGATGATGTCCGTATGTCTGTATGTATGTGTGAATGTATGTGTGTGTGTCTGGATGTATGTAAACCTGTTATAACTTTTAAACGGCTCAACCGATTTGAATAAACTAAACGGCATTCCAAAGGGTTTCATTGCACTTGAATTTCTTCCAAACGACTTGACCGATCGGCACCAAAAACTAATCAGTTCTAAACCTTGAAGAAACACATCGTTTGCCGCAAACCGGGTCGAAATCGGTTGATTTACTTGCGAGAAATCGTCAACGAAAAAAATCTCCAAAATTGATTAGTCTTTGAGAAATTTGGGAAATAGTGTAATATTAAACTCCCATTAAATGGGAGTCGAGCTTCGAGCTCAAAAGCAGTGAAAAAAGCGAATTTTGAACGTTAACGTATAAAATTAGCAGGAAGTTGCAGGGATGGCCCTTGAGGCCAACCGTTTTCCACATTTAAATCATATCACTCTTATTGGAAAACCCTATATAAGCGACGAAATAGTTTGCTCCATCTCCAGATAAATGATGATTCATAGCTTTTTCTAGGTATCCTTCCGCTAACTTCTTGGATTAGCTAGAATCTCCCGAGAAGCTTATCGCTGTCTTTAAACTGTGTTTGAAGCAGATACGTTAAGCTTTTCCCAGCACATCCCCACAATGAATTCAAATGAAAAATTAGCATTGCAAAATTTGCATTTCACCTTAAACCGCGAAGACCACAAAGACCACTGAGTTGCCAACTACTTACACAACTTTGCACTAATTCATTTGCATTTCAAAATTGTTGGCCTACTTGTTAGACATTTGTTCAGTTGTGGTGGCGGTTAGTGTGGTCTATATTGTTATCTATTTTATTGTTGGCGTTGTAAGTCGAGAGAGCGGCGTGGCTTTGGATCCACTCCATCCTAATTACAACAACTGTTAATGCCGAAATATTTAATGCTCAAATTCAAATGATCTAACATCATCCGCAAACGTCTCTAATCAGTTGCAGGCACCATGAGAGAGACCACGGAGAGAGAGTGGGAGCTGTGGCCAGCTTGCCACTCATGCTGTTGACCCTGTTGTTGCCGACTTGACAGTGCGTCAGCATGCAGGCGACATATTTTATATACAAAACTCTCCAGGAATGTGCTGCTATAATTTCTTGGCTAAGTAATTTTCCTTGCTGCCATTTTAGCTGTGAAATTTGTACCAATTAAGTAAAATTAATTCTCTCACTCTCCGCACCCCGCTCAGTGATGGATAAGTGTCGGTTTGCGGATGACGTTGTCCTAAGTCAGTTACTTATAGTAGCTGCTTTTGACATCGTGTAGCATTTAAGCTCGTTAGTTGTTGTTGCATACATTCATACATTTACATACAAAATATAGTATTTAATTAAATTTTTTGTCATTTTACTAAATGTAATTTATTTAAACTGCGGGTGGTCCTGGCGGCAGCTTAAAACGGATAGTAAATGTACAAATATTAAAGAATTTTTTAATAATAAAGATTTTAAAATTAATTTTTTTGAGAAATTTACATATTTTAATAATATTGTTAGTAGTATGGTGTTTGACAGCTTAGAAAGCTTGAAGGTGGACTTTTTATTACAGTGATATTTCTGATTGATAGCTCAGTTTTGGCATCGCAGTCGTCTTTTTCTAAACAAGTTGCTGGTTTATGGGAAACACCGATATCGAACCATTTTAGCATAGTTGCTACACAAACTGACCGATCAAAATCAAGTTTTTGTTTGGAAAACTTTTTTTTGTTGAAAATATATCTTCACGAAATTCTGCATGAATTATTATCAAAGGGGTTCGGTATAATCTGCGAACAAAGTGTTCAGATCGGATTACGATAGCATATAGGTGTCATACAAACTGATCGTGTTAAAATCAAATCCCCTTATTGACAACTTTTTTATTTGACAAAAAATCGTCACAAAATTTGCCATAGATTATTATCCAAAGAAGGGCTATAATATCCGAATATATTGTTTGAATCGGACTACTATAGCATATAGTTACCACACAAATCGACCGACCGAAATAAAGTTCTTGTTTGGAAAACTTTTTTATTTGACTAGGTATCATCACATAATTAGGCATGAATAACTGTGCAATGCAATGTTATAATCTCCGAGCAAATTTTTCAGATCGGACCAATGTAGCTTATATCTGTCATACAAACTGGCCGATAAAAATCAAGATAAATATCTCTTTATACCCTTTTATGCTATATAAAATGCACCTGTGATCTATCTTGATAAAAACTCAAAAATTGTTTATTGGTAAATTTGTTAAATTTTCTTTCAGATACGCCTCCGATGGTGAGGAGCAGCCGGTGCTCGAGTCTATGCGTGACTACTTAATTACAACAATACAAAAAACTTTCGAAGTCGGATTCGACCAAGCCGAAAAACTTTATCAAGAACTTTTGCAATGCACACGAAATAAAAATTTGGTAAGTAAATAAATAAATGAAAAGGCAGGCATCCACTGGGACAATTTTTGTTTATGGAAGTTTCTTAGTGGCTTTTTGACATTTTGATAATTTTCCTAAACAAATGGACTCAATGCTGTCATCTTGCTGTTGAGCTTAGTTAACGGTAAGCAATGTGGGCTTGCTCATAAGCAGCATTTCTCTGCGAAAGGGAGAGACAAATAACATATAACAGAGCAGAGCTGAAAAAGTGCACTCCTCCTAGCTTTTTTCTGTGTAAATATGTATGCTTGTCTATTTTCAATACTCTGCGGGGGTTTTCGGTTTTTGTCAGAACTTAAAGCTTTTATCATTTCTTGTTATTTTAACCATTATTAGTGCATATGAAAATTGAGCAAGAATACACGAAGAGTAAATGTGCCTGCATGCCAAAAAAAAAATGAAGAAAGGCAATATGAAAATCAAAGTAAATTAATATTCAATCCGGATTTCGTTTTAATTGCTTCGATTGACAGCAGCAAAGAGCGAGAGTACTAAAACAAAAGCGAGTAGTGGAAAATTAGTAGGAAAAATACATTTTTTAATTATTTTTATGCAAATTACTTTAAAGTTCGATTTTGTATCCTAAAAATGCAATAAGCAAAAAAATGGCAGTTTTAATTTTGCTAATCTTTCTTCCTTATCTTTTTTCCAATTACGCAGATAACCGTTTTTCGCATACAAGAGAAGCCCGAAGGCGAGGCACAGGAATTAGATCAGACGATATTAACGGCGCTCTTTAAATCACAACACTTGAGTCCACCGGAACAGTTGAGTTTGGCATTGACATGGAATCGCGTTGACATCGCTCGCAGTGAAATTTTCGTCTACGGCCAGGAATGGCCGCATGGTAAGTCAATGCATAAATGAGTGGATAAGCATCGTAATGAATTTGCACGTTCTTGTACCATTTTCTATTTTTGGCAATTTCTTATCATCATTTCTATTTTCCTTGCTTTGTCTTCTTCTAGGCGCTCTGGATGAAGCGATGATGCAGGCGCTCGAACACGACAGAATCGATTTTGTGAAATTACTTTTGGAGAATGGCGTTTCAATGAAGAAATTTTTGACAATACCCCGCCTTGAGGAATTGTATAATACAAAACATGGTCCAGCCAATACTTTAGGGTAAGTGAAATGTATTTTTGTTGTTTTCTTTGAATTTATATCTAAATATCATAAGTAATTGATTAACGCCTACTGGACATCTGCAAATGTAAAAGTTCTTTATCTGAAGCCTCTAAACACTTCAAGCCTAGTTTTTGTAAGCTAATGTTATTAACAAGCTCAACGCTTTTGCGCAGTTTAGTTTTTGAAAACATCTTCATTTTAAAGCTCTATTAAAGAGTAAAGCTAATTTCGGCTACATCTGGTACTATGTATAACCGCATAGCCATCTTCGACCGAGACTATAGTAAAAGTTTTCCTTTTCAAAACATAAAATTGTCATGTAGACAGTAGGGAGGCACTCTTTATTTCTATAATGCCCATGCAATTCTCTGTCACAAGTTTCGGCGAACTTAGAGTTACGAACGACACCATTTTTCTTTGTGTTGAATGAACCAAGCTTGTGAGGAAAGCAATCACCTTATTGATTTTATTCAAAGAATATTGGAATTATTGGCATCACGAGTAATCGGCCTATTAACTCAACCTAACCTAACCTCCTTATTGAATTAAAATTTAAGTAAAATAAAAATATTAACTTTCAATTTCTATTTATTTACAGTTATATTTTACGCGACGTACGTCCACACATACCAAAGGGATACGTCTACACACTACACGATATGGGTTTAGTTATTAATAAATTAATGGGTGGCGCGTATCGGTAAGTAACTCCTACTACTTTAAATTAGTTGTGATTACACCAAAAAATAACGGGGTAATAAGCTTAAGTAAATATGAAAGCTTGCCAGCGGCGAATATCAACACTCATCAAAGGCGTAATGAGGAAAAGTTTAGCGCTGCATACCGGTGCGGATTGAAAAGTAAATTTGGGCTCTAAGGAAATTATAATATTCTCTCAACATTACATATCTACTTCTCTCAAATGTTAAGCGCTTCCAATCACTGCAACGAATTTATTCACTTTACTTGTCTGTTTGGTTAATCGTTCGATGGGTTAATGGGTCAAGCGTTTGACCCTCCTCACTTGCTCTCTTACTCTCTCTATCTCTCATTTAATGGTGTGAACTATAAAGCCTTTGGCTTGCGGGTTCGGTCAGCACTTGTAAATAACATGTGTGTGTTTGCGTTTGTGTGAGGTGCGTCTGTGTTAATCTGAGTTGTTGACTTCGTGCCTCAGTGCATGGGTTTAATTTAAAGGTCCCTTGCGTGCACCATTACACTCAATTCCACCAGAAATTTGTATATAGCTACGGGTAAGAGCTTTGCGATTAAACAAATATCATAAATTTGCTGGTGTGTGTGTTTGTGCCAACAAGGCGCTAGACAAATAAAGTTTCTCTAGTGCTGGCATAATTTCTCGACCTTTGTGTGAAAATTTCAAGGATGATAAGGGAGCTTTAATTGTAAATTTACCTCTATGTTCAATGATGTTTCAAGTTTAATATTCTCGTGGCGAAAATTTCTATACTTTAAGCTGTGAATTGCTTGATGTAAATATAATGTGAAAGTTGGAAAAAAGCTTGAAGCTAAATATTGAGCATATTGACTCTGGCACGGAAGCAGTGACGTAGCAAAGGAAGTCGGGCCGCACCGGATGTCACCTTATCTGTGGTGACACCCATCCGATCGTTCAAAAATAAATCGCTAGCACAAAATTTATTTTTCGGGGATTCCTCCACTAGCACTAGCTCAGCTTTATGTATAATTCGGGAAAGCAAAAGAGACTGACGCTGTCGTGGGAGATTACCCGTCCCATACTCGCGATCTTTGACGTCTCGTTTGCAACATTTCTGCAAAGATTAGTAAAAAACTATTTGCGGGCAACAATGACCCAATCGCAGCTTAGACATCTTGGTATATTAGTCATCGAATACGAAGCAATACAAAATATAAATTTCGATGAAGTTATTGCTGAGTTTGCAGCTGCCAAAGCTAGAGAGAAGAAATTTTAATTGTTTAACAATTCCTTTTCTATCTTAGTTATTACTGTGTTTTGTTATTTCTTCAACATCATAAATAATAAATGATCTATTTCCTTTATCATATACAATTTTTTGCTTTTTACTTTCCTTGGGCTGACACCACCAACTTCCGCACTGGGTGTCACCCAAGGTTTTCACTTTTGAATGTAGATTATTTTCTCAGAGATATGTCGCCATCAACTTGATTTAAGCAACTTTAGTTTATGAGTTAATAGGATATTATACAAATTTAGCAAAAAAAAAAATTAAAAAGCAATAAATATTGATATTATTGCGATATGTCCGTGAGTTGAGCTCAATCCAATCACTCTAGCGAACGATCTCCGATTTTACAAGTCATTCTGTCAATTTTAGACATTAATGTAAAAAAATCATCAGCTGAATGTATCTTGGATTTTGTTGCTGGAGAATGATACGTCTTCTGCGATATTAGTATTTCCAGTATATTTCTGTAGATCTCTTCCTTCTCCCAAGTCTCTTAAAGCAGTTGCTAGTTCTTTCGATTCGCAAAATCTTGTCGTGTGGTGAGTCGAACAAACAATTGGCAAAAATCGAATAAGTTGGCATACATTGGCATATGTATGTGGAGATATGGTGTATAAAGTGAGTTTATAACACATTGATACAAAAACCGAACCAACTCCTACTGGGGAGCTTATTCGTGCATAGAATTCAAGCAAAATGGGAAGAAAAGGAAAGATCTGTAGAGGGCTTCTGTATAATTTTTGCAAACCCAATTGCAATTTAAATTAATGTGGCAAAGTATGGTTGTCAAAGTTTACAAAGGGTAGATTGATTTTCCTGACAAAAGGAAGGAAGGAGGAGGAGCCTCGAGTGCCTGTAATTTGCAGATAGTGTTTGCAATTTTCTTAGCTTGCTTGAGTTATTACTTCCTTCGCAGATAGTGTTTTCAAAATGACTTTCCAAAGATTTGACGTACTGGAATCCAGTAACGTTGTCACTAACGAATTTTTTAACATGGCGAAGTCGTGCTAGTGCTACAGAATATGACGTAATTTAAGCCGATTATTAATAAGTCGTCCGAATGTTTATCTTGCTGATTTTCATTTAATACCTTTATCAAAGCCGATAACGTCGATATAGGAATATAGTCCTGTGCAACGAATTCAAAAATTTCTCTAACACTTTTTTGAAAACTAGCTTTTGAAAAATAGTTTTTTATTGTTTCTATTGTAACGTTGTCGCATGCAGTTTTAATAAAATAAACAGGCCCCAAAATTTCAAATGTTTTTGAAAGTTTTTGCATTGAAACTTAAAATTCTATATAATGTCCTGATCGAAGAGCTGACAAACGGAAGTTGTATTAGCTAAATCAACTTTATGTTATTAATTTTAATATTTCTTGGCTAAGTTAAATAGTAAACGTTTCGCAAAGGCAAATCTAAATCATTTATAATAATAATTTTTGATCTTTTCATGCTAAAAGCTACAAATTTTTACATATAGTTCCCGTTATATCTTAACATGTTTCTGTTCGTGCTCACATTTTTACATATGGTGTGTGTATGTACTCATATATACATTTCGGCTATTCGGTTTAGGTACTGTACCTTTATTTCAATTTTTGATCTTCGTTGTCGGCAAAAAAAGTTTTCCATCCGCTTACCATAGGCTTTTGTTGTTTTCTTTACACTTTCGTTCAATAATTAAATTTTCTTGTCCGTTATCGAGAGGTTCGCGTACGCTTACAAAAGGTATGGAAAATAAAAAATAGTCAGAAAAAGTATCCGCGTCCGGTCATGAGAGTGTAGCGTTGTTAGAGTCGAATTTGTTATTACAACTCAACGCAATACTTGGTTCTTGAGTTTTTGTCCGGTTAAGGGAGGCGTCCGCTTATTTTAGGCGTCCGCAAGTAAAGGTTTCCCTGTACTTTTTTGGCAGCGTTTTTATTGCAAAATATATTATTTTATATATTTATATTTAAGTGAAACCCTGCTTAAAGAAATAATTTTAAAAGCACTTGCACATAATATTTTTAAGCACGACACCCACGGTTTTCCCAGTACTCACCGCATGATATAGGAAAAATATTATTTTAAAACACAGTATACTAGAAAAAAAAGTAACGCTTTAATGCGCACTACGCGACTTCCATTCACATTACATAGATGTACATTTGTAAATACATACATTCTTATACAATTTACGAAAATTTGCATTACTTATACGCACTGTGGCACCGTCTGTTGCACTCCAGCAAATCGACATCTCCGCGCTATTTTTAGCAACGCATGAATTGTGCGCTGGTACTCGAATAGACATTTATGACAGCCGAACATTTACATACTTGCTTGTATGCTTGTATTTACACATACTTAATGCTTCGCTTCTGAATTATTCATGTTGATTTCAATATGGCAAATCACTCATACGCCACCGCGTGCTTGTGTCGGAAAGAGAAATATATGCTGCACACGAGTGTAATTGTGCGAATGTGACTTTGAAATTCAGTAGGTACTTGGGCGCTAAGAATTTTTTTTGTTGGTTTTAAGAAATTAAAATATATTTTTTGTAAATTTCAACGAGCTAACTTTAAGCAGTTTAATTAAATTCAATTTCTTTAAATAATCTTTGAATTTGCACTCGCTTATTTTAATTAAATTATACATGCATTGACTTTATTCTTGCTCAATCTTTTTAATATTCTCATGCCAATTTTGCCAAATCTTCAAGTCTGTCTCATTTCACTTAATTCTTTTATACCTTTTTCATTCGTGCCATTCCTCTCCTATCAATTCTTATTCCATTTCTTTTTTGTTTCTTACCTTATTTAACTTTTCCTCATTTTTGCTCAGTTTGTTTCAGCTGCGAAAAGTCAAAGTGCACCCTCTTTGGCCGTTAGAGTTTAAAAGTAAATGCTGATCTAACTGGAATTTGATGATGATGACGCCGATAATGTTCTCGGTGGCGTTGCCATTTTATTTAGTAGCTTTAGTAGGTGGTAATAACGTTGATGAGGGTGCGCGATAGCGTAAAAAATATATCCCTTTTTACGATTCGGGTCACTTTTTGTTGCCGTAATGTTGTTGTTGTTGTTGCCCTCAATATTGTTGCGTCATGTTTACGTGACACAAGGGATTTAGTGCTGTTGTTTTATTGAATTTTTTATACTATATATAAACATATATTTGGTCTTAGGTCACTTTTGTTTTTGTTTTTTGTTTTTTTTTGTTGCTAGTTTTTGTTTGCTTTTGACCAGCGAAATAATGAAATTTCGAAACTTTATCAACTTTTGCTTTTCTTATTTTTAGATGTTGGTGCCTAATTTGCACTTCTAACATTTGAGCGTATACTTTCCTTACTTGCGAAATGTGTGCGTTGTGTTTCATAGCTGACCCAATTGAGTATAATAAGCTTATATTTCAATGCATATTGTTGATAGAAATATGTGAGGGTTGAGAGTATGATAACCCCGTTCCTAAAATTTAAATTTAAAACTTGAGGACCATGTGCTTTGTTTCTTACACCTTTTTATTCTGAATCTCAATTTGAGGAGATCTTCAATTTAGGTAAACCGAACAATACCTTTTTGATTATTTACTAGATTTATTGTGGACTTACGCAAAATTATTTCGGTCGCAATTGGAGTATTCTAACATAATTCCTAATACAAAGCTCATATTATAGTGCAAAAAAAGGGCATGAGTGTGTGATAAGGAAAAATAAGGGAGACAGAAAGAGTTAAATTTTAAAGCTA